TCTATAGTTTATGTGCAGCAGTCCAAATATCTTCCTGAACTACTAAAAACACAAGAGCAAAATGTGCAATTAAGCTTTTTTATTGTGTTTTTTTGTTTTTTTCTCTAGTCAATTTTTGTACACAATCAACTATTCAGAAGTGCAGAAAATCAAGTTATTATAAAATATCTCCTTTTTCTTAGGCTGAGCAATCTATCATGGATTCAAAAAATTTGGAACACCTATATAGAAAAGCAAAGGACTTCTCTTGATGTGGATAAGGAAACTTTTTAGATGAGCTTGATGGCAGCCAGATACCCACAAAAGGAACACAAAGGCAGTTACAGAGGCAGGTCAGTAAGAATTTTCCTTAACAGTCATTAGAAATTTCTTTTGAATCACAAATTTGCAGGCAATATCTTCTACAAATATGGAATAATTTGCAGAACAATTATAAGCAACTGAAAAAAGTGCTGCTTGACTGATAGCAAGAGACTACACCCCCTGTCCTGAATGATCATAGGAGATAAAGGCCAAGAACTGAGCAGCTGGACTTGCCCATTAAGGAAGTCTGTAGTTTATCTCTGCAAAAAACATGTCTACTCAGCAGGACACTGATCACAAGACAGCACCTGTTACCTCCTATGAATGAATATATAGCCACTACCCATAAAAAATTTGACAACTGCTATTTTGTTAAGTGGCAATATTGACAGAAAAAGCATAGCCCAAACATACCCGTTTCTTTAAATTATGTTTAAACCATCACAAAAAAAAAACAACAAAACACCTTACAACTTTATGACTCTTGAGAGGTTTGCGGTGAAATAAGCTTAGCTAAAAATCAGTAAGGGAATATATAAACCCTTTGCTTCTATGTTTACATGTTTTTTTTGACCATTGGCTATCTTGGTAAACATCTAATGCCAAGACAGGAAAGTTGGCAGCAGTGAAGTTTTGGCTGCTCGTGTAAACTTCCTTTGGAGCTTCTTGCTTTAGGTGTACATAGTTGTGTTGAAGGAAGATCAAGTTACCCTTAATCCCTCCTTCATTGAACCAAAATGTCCCTCAAAATTGTAACAGTCACAGTGTCAGAATACTTTCCTGAGGCTCCAGGTTCCTTCTGGATTCACAGTCAAGGGGGCATCAAAGAACATTTTCCAGGAGATCTGGCAAGGCAATTTGTTGGCCAAGTTGCTCTAGTTTCATTGTGGATTCAGGGGCTGGCTATCTCAGATATTGTGGAAACACGCTGTAAGACCTTCCATTCCTCTCTGTGAGGATGAGTCATCAACAGGAATTAACTGGTTATCAGTGGATTTGGTCTTACCTGCACAAGGATGTACTTCACCGCTCTCTGTATAGCTAGTGCAGGGAGCAGGGGGAATTGACTACTCCTGCTTTCATCCTTTCCCTTAGCACATCTACATGACATAATTGATATATTCTTGGCAGGTCTGAAATTATGCTGCAGTGATGAATATTTGTTTCTGGGTCAGAAGCTGTAAAATCTGGAAAATAACTTCCATACTCACAAAGAGATACATATGGTTCTTGGCACATTAGCAATCTGCTAGAAAAACATCCCACGCTGGCAGAGCAGGGGTCAGCGGAGAGCAGGAAATGTGCCAGTAGTCTGGAACAACCTGAAAGGAAAACAAAGAGTTAAAATACCAAATATATCAGTCTGTTTAGGAGTAGAGAAGGAGTCTGTCAGGGGTATTCAAAGATTCAGGAATGTGGGATTTGGGGAAAAGCAGTCAAATCTGATATTCAAACCCTGCAATTTACAGGCACTGCTGCAACGGTAGGGCAGGCAGGCAATATAAAGAAAATTACAACTAAGGCAGGTACATATTCATAACCTGAGCAGAGCCTACATCCTCAGGGTAAGAGTTATCCTTATGGATGGGCAAAACCATCAATCTATATATGTCAATCCCTTGCAACGCAGGCACCTTAAATGTGAGCAAAGAAAATTAAGATGCGTAATGATTTAGTGACTTGTTTCAAATGTGCATTGAAAACAACTGCTGTAGTTGCTACAGAAATGCCAGTATCTCATCTAGAAATTGGAATGATTATGGAATTAAATGATATGTGGCTCCAGGAGTAATTACCATATGAAAAGGTGATTTCCACCAAAAGAATGTGAGAGCCTTTGATCTAACAGAAATTTCTCTTTTCTGTCCTGAAATGACCCACTCATTTTTAGTTCTGAGTCTATGTAGAGTGGAATATGCAAGTTTCATGAGGGAGCTATACATCTGTTACAGAGCATTAGGCATATTCAGAGAAAAAGATTGGTCTTGCTAGGATATTCCTAATCAATAGTTCCCAACAAATATGTAGAAAAATTGATTAAAACCTGCTGTGAGTCACTGAAACTACATCACTGAGTGTGTATAGTTCTAAAACTGCTGAGCTGACTTTGAGTATAGCTATTTTTTAAAATCTTATACAGATCAGCAAAACAAATGAAATCTGAATTTTTAGATTGCACCATTATTGAAATATTCTAACATATCCAAACAGAATATTTTTCATATTTATATGATTTGATTTTTTAACCAATTGTGTTGAAAGAAAAAAGACAAACTACTTTCGTATGAGCAGTGATATGAGGCATTTCAGCAGCAAAAGACATTTTATTTATATATATATATATAAAGGATTTTATATAAGAAAATTAAGGCAAACTGAAGATTAGGGCTAGAATAAAAGTTGATGCTCTGAATGCTAAATAAGTATATATACATAACATATACAATCTATACTACATTGCTATGTTCTGCAATTAATGAATATTAACTTGTTAATACAGCGTAAGTTGTGTAAGTGGTGTGAACAAGAACGCAAAAGTCTGGCCCTAAGTCCTTGTTTCTGTTACCTTCGCTCAGACATGTAATGCTAGGATTGTGGAATTGGCACATTTTAATGTTTCACAGCACTGTTGACTTATATTTGTTATGGTTTTGATTATGAGAGTGTTTGGGTATAAGCATTTATGCAAATCCATCGGTGCTGCATGTGTATTCAGAGCACGTGCTTACTTGAGAACTAGCGTCATGCATTGCCACATGTATATATGCGCAGTGCTATGTGTGTATATATAGGATTTTGCTGGAGTATGTGCAACAACCAGCTGATCCTTGTCCACCAAACCCCAAAGGGCAGTAATGGCTATTGGACCTTGGTGGATCCTCACATAGGGAGCCTATGCAGCATAATTTGCTAGTGAAAAGATGAGCTGTAATGCCAAGTATACGCTAAAGATGCTGCAGCATATCTCATTTGTTAGTGCTGCTGCTGCTCTCTTCTCAAGGATATCAAAATGCCTGTCAGCACCTGGATGAAAATCAGCTGACTCAGATTCAATCTGGCCAAAATGAAAATGATGACGACTGGAGCGGGGAAAATGTTTAAAACTGGGGTAATGTCTTTACCTATCTATGATAACATCTTTAAACATTTATTTAAATAGTATGGCACCTCAGGTTTCTATTTTTTGTCATTGTCTGAGTGATCAAAATTACCCTTTTCTTTTCCCAAGCTTAACTTCTCCTCCTGGTGCAGATCTGGCCATTGCAAGCTTCCCTGGCAGAGTGATTTACCGGTAACTCACTGAACCTCTGGGTAAGTACGTAAAGAATGCAGACTCCAGCGTTGGCAAAATGAGACAGCCCTCTTCAATAGTAGCAGCTTCACCGCCCCCAATGGTCTGCAGGTTATTTCCTCGCTGTGTCTAAGTCTTGTTTCTGATCTTCAAAGCAATAAAGACCTGGCTTCCCCAGAGACTGCTTCTTTAATCACAAAAACACAGGTACTCGTCTGAAGCATGCAGTATCACACAGATCAGGATAATACAAGCGAAAAGGTGAAAATCAAGAGAAAATCCCTTAACTGAAGTGTTCATCAATAGAACTTCAACCTACAAAACATCAAGATAATTCAGGTAAGTGTTTGCAAAACTTTGCAGCTGGATAATCCAGGCAGTTTGTACCACTGTGAGGGTAGAGCCACATGCTGCCTAGGTCTGCCCAGCGTTCCCACGCCATGTACTCCACTGCACAGGCTCAGGAGACTGGAAATTTCCCAGAGGTTATCTCCTTTAGCGCACATTAGTGCATGTATGCGTATAAAATCCTGTCTTGCAGAAATTAAGGTAATTCAGTATTAGGCTGTGACAGTGTGTACTGCACTAGCAGGCAGCCCAGTGTCAGGAGAGGATTTTGATAGCCTGTGTGAAAGATGGTAGCCAGGACAGGTGCCGCCAGAACAATTCATGCAGCCTACAGCCTTGGGGGAAGAATGCTGCCAGAAGAGGCAGGGTATCACATAGATTATCCTGGCAGAATATACATGGTTTGTGATCAGTAAGATTAGCACTTCTGCTCTCCCCACTTCAAGGCACATAAAGTAGAGCCTTCTTTTTGATAAGCATTTTCCCTTCCAGAGCTAAAACACACTCGAAGCATTTCACATGGTAAATATATATATTTAAGGAGAGCTATCATCAACTCGGAAGTCACAATACCGCTTGAAAATGCGTAGCTGTAGCTATTTATGACATGAGTGGCAGCAAAAGGGGGGAGGAAAGAAAAAAATCTTTCCTGGCAGCTCACTTTCAGTATTTACTTTTTTCTTTAGTCTGTTGAGCCATGTAAAAACAGTTTGTGAACAGGCGGCAAGTGCGACTTTCCTCGCGTACACCGGCGGGGCGCAGGCCCGGGCGGGCGCGCCGGCGGCCGCGGACCCCGCGGCGGGGCCGCGGGGGGCAGCCGCGGGGGGCAGCCGCGGGGCGGGCGCCCCCGGCCTGCCAGGGATGCTCGGGGCGAGGCGGGCCGAGCCCCCGGCGCCGGGCGGGCCGGGCCACAGGGCCTGGACGCGCCGCGGCCGCCCGGAGTCACCTTGGGCACGGCGCGCCTCACCCCCGTCCCAGGCGCGGCGGCCCGCGGGCGGGACGGCCCCTCCGCCGGGCGGGAGCGCTCCCGCGCCGCCGGCACTGCGAGCCCGGGCGCTGACCGGGGCTGCACGGAGGCGGCCGCGCCTCCGCCCGCAGCGGTGGCAGACGCGGAGGCTGAGGGCAGCCCGCCCGCCGCGGCCCTCCGCGAGCCGCTGAGGCCGCCGCTCCAAGCTCCCGCACCTCGCCCCCTCCCCGCTCAGGCCGGGGCCGGGGCCGTGGACGGCGGCGTCCTGCGCCCCGCGCGCCCCCGGCGGGCGGCGTAGCAGGGAGGAGGCGCCGCCTCGGCCGTCATTTCCGCCGTGTGTCGGGGTGGGGGAGGGGGGTAGAGCGCTCGCCTCCTCCTCCGCGGCGGCCGGAGACACAGAGACCCAGCGAGGGGAGCCGGGAGCCGCCGCCGCGCCCGCGGGCCGCGCCGCCCCGCCAGCCGAGCACTGCGCTGCCCCCGCCCGCCGCCGCCGCCGCCCGGCATCCTTCCCGCCCCCTGTCCCCCTCCCCCCTCCCCCCCCTCCCCGCCCCGGCCCGGCCATGGGGAACGCCGCCACCGCCAAGAAGGGCAACGAGATCGAGAGCGGTGAGTGAGCGCGAAGGGTGGGGGAGCCGCCGCTGTAGCCCCCGCCCGGCGCCGGGCTCCGCTTCCCGAGGAGGGGCTGGCGGGGCCCGGCCCGCCGCGCCCGCCCCGCGCCGCCGCCGCAGGCCCCGCGGCCTAGCGGCTGTGAGGCGCCGAGCCCCCCTCCCCGCGCAGGCCCCCAGCTCGGCGCGGCCTGCTCGGCGCCGCGGGGAGCCCGCCCCGGCCCCGGCTCGCCCGCCCTCCCCTCCCCGCGGGCGCGCCCGCCTCGGGGTTTAGCGCCTCAGGAAATAAGCGGGATAAATCCGCCCGCGGCCGCCGGGCCGAGGCCGCCGCCGGGCCGCGCGTCCGGCTGTCCCGCAGCAGGTGTCCGTCCCCGCTGAAGGAGGAGCTGCCGGGGTGGCGGCGGGCAGGTGTCAGCGACTCCGCCAGCCTTCATCCTCGCCCCGGCCGGCTCGCTTTCCCCACCCCTGAACACACCCTCGCCGGCGGGGGAGGCCTCCCGCCGCGCCGCGCCGCGCTCCGTCTGCGGCGGGAGGGTTTCCATCCCACCGCGGGGAATGTAGGTCAGAAACTCCTCAGCCTGCCCGGATCGTGCGGCCCCGGTGACCCGCCGGGCCTGCCCGCGCCCCGCGGCACAGGCACGGCCCCGCGGCGCACCGACAGCCTTCGGCAGCGCGCTGGGAGAGCGCACGGTGCAAACCCGGCTCTCCCGAGCCCTCGGTAAAATGGAAGACAAAAGCATTGAGCTGAACTTGTCATCTCGGGGTGCCTTTTGCTGGGTGTTTTGGTTTTATTTTTCCTAAATATTTCACCCTAATCTTAAAATAATATAAACCCGATTTAGTTGTTGGGGAAAAAAAAAAAAAACAACTGGACTTTATTTTTAGTAAGTTAACTTCCTTACTTTGCTTCTAGTGGAAAACTTTGGGTATGTTTGTGATGGATAAGAGAAAAGACAAGACGTAGAGAGCAGCCAGTTGTGCAAGCTCAGTGTTCCTACAACAATGCCCTTTGTTACTGGAAATTCCTTAGGCATTATTAAAATGGAAAGAAGTTTAAACATCAGAGTTACTTTTTGTTACTTTTTGTGCAGTTTGTTTACTTCTTGTGCGTTTACTACTGAGGTCTGGGCTAGAACTGGGTAACCTGATTTGCAGAGGCTGGTTCCTGCCCACGCAGCATTCCTCTGGCGTCCCCGGGATCTGCATGGGTGTCTCCAGCTGTGGGACCAGGGGATCTGCTTGACCTACCCAGTTCTGCTCCGTGGTTTGGCCTTGCAGTTCTTGCGTCTTATGTCATTATTATTATAGATTTCACAATGCAAATGTTTGATGAGTGACCACTATTGTTTAGTGGTTTTAATTTATTTAGCCGAGTACATTAGTTTTTGATAGGAAGTATTTTAGCTTACCTGTAAAGATACATGTTAAGAGAGAGAGGGAGGGTGGATTGTTTGAAGTACTTCAGATGAGAGAATGCTGCATTTCATACTTCATAGTAGCTGTATCGCCATTAGTCTGTGCAGTTAAATAACACTACACCACACAGTTTTTATTCCCATTTTAATTAATTCTTTTCTCATAGTACCGAATACAGTGATTTTTAAGTTGTGGAAGGAGTTTGCTTCAGAAATCCTCTCTCTCCCTTTGTTAGAGTTTAGAAATTAAATGCTGCTAGGGACATCAAGGTCCAGTGTTCAATTACTCTGTATATTTAGCAGCAAAAAGCTCTGTAATGATATAACTTCTGTAACTAGGAGAATAAATTGATCATTATTGACATACTGCTGGGAGAGACCAGTATTCACTTACTATGGAGGATCAGTAGTATATGAATACTATACACATAATAAATTATTAGAAGCAAGATTTGGTTTACTGGCAGCGAAACTGATGTGTAATCTATTCATATGATACACAGCAACTAAAAACTAAAGAAACATAAAATGTGGTGGAACTTTATTTCTGATACATATTCACATTGTTGAGCCAGTTTTCCTGTTTTTTGTGTTAAGTGTCCTTAGTAGCACATATTCCAAACTTCAGGACACTGAAAATGAAGTTGTTTGAAGTGGTAACAGAAAAATATCCAGGTTTGACTTATAAAGGTGATGTTATGCCCTTGATCCATGCATGGAGCATATGGTATTGTGTGGATCAAGGACATGCAAAGGTCTCTGAAAGAACAATGAAGGGTAACGCAGCTTCCACTGATAACTGTACTTACTAGTTCATGAAGTGTAATTTGAGACCTCTTTCACTATCTGTGGTCAGCACGGTAAATGCTGTTCACCTAACCGTGGCCCTTATATTATTCTTGTTTATTTTAGCTTTCCATGCATATTCAGATATCTTCAGTACTTGTTATATCACTCAGTCTATGAAGAGGAATAAAACCATTTCTATGTGAACACCAGTAGCAGAAGGAGCAAATGTTTCAGAGTATTTCTAGTCAGAAGTTGCAGGTGAATGTGATGTTGATGCTGGTTAAGTCTCTTAAGCTTAGCAAAAAAGTAAAGCAGGTTTGCATAGCAGGGTGGGCAGGATACATGTGTATATATACAGAAGATTGAAAGCATCAGTGTGGTCTGTTACGGTTTTCTTTCTATGCCCTTCTGTTTGAGGTTCTCCTAATATGCTGTGGATTTTGATTTGGAGGACCAAAATTAAAAGTGGCACTTTACTAAAGGGAAGTTTAAGGATTCTGTACATATTTTACACTCTGTAGCTGTTTTAAATGGGTTCATGGTTTTCTACAGGGCATAGCAGCCTACAAATTCTGAGGGTCTTTTAGAATAATAAGTGATTTTCATCTGAAATCTGAAGAGACAGAATTGTCAGTTGACTTAAAAGTTCTCCAAGTTTGATCCTTCATCCTAATACTCATTTAATTATTCACTTCATTGGGAGGTTTTTTTCAGCTGCTCAGTTTATGGTAGTTGAGAACTTCTTTTGCAACCTGCGAGTTAAAAATGTCAACATGTGGTAAATGACGTTTTTTAAAATAAAGGCCAAAAAGAGTCTACCGTAACTTGTTGCAATTAATGTAGGAAAATGTTAACTTTATTAATATTTATTACCTTGGAATAATTCGTTAAAATAGCACACAATGTAAAAGAAACATAACTACAATGCATCTCTGAGTTTAAAAAAGGTCCCATAATATTTTTTAATCCAGTAAGTAAACCTGTTACTTTTCAAGATCATTATTGATTTTGTATGAAACAGGAATGCTTTAACTTTACTGGAACTCTTTTCCAAACTGAAATGAATGTCAGCCCTGTAAATTGTAAAGTTAGTTGGAAGAAAAAAAACCCCAAACTTTCTGCAAACAACTCAGTAATACAGAATTTTGAAGTAATTACTATGTATGGCTCTGAATTACTTGCTCCTTTAGTTATTCAAGGTAATGTCATACATTTGGCCAAGAAGATTGTTTAGAAATTAATAGTAGTCCCACTTGGTGCTTTGTTTGCTTGATTGTTTCAGTGTAGTGGCCTTTTTTTTTTTTTTTTTCCCTCCTAGATTGAAGAATACTTGGCTGTGATATTGTCTGTTTCTTTCTTTTAAATCACCAAACTGGATTAGAGACCAGGTGATTAGAATATGCTTTTTCTTGGCTGGAATATTTGTATACTTTCTTTTCTTCCAGAAGATCTTGAAATCGCATGGTCTTTGCTTCTCAGTTGTGTTAGCCACGATTCAGATGGCCCTTGCTGCTTTTTATAGCAATATGGGGTAGTAAATTGCTCCTAAAATGTATGTTTAAAATAAAACTATACATGATTTTCAAAACATAATTCTGTACACATATCTTCTTACCTGGTAGCTGGATCTCCAGCTTCCAGTGCATGAGGAATTTATTAATCTAACATGACTTTACTAACTTCAGCTTCTGTGGTCTTTAAATAGCCAAGCACAGCGTGTGTGATGTGTATTCTGCATGTGAATTTTATGTTCATTCACTCCTCCTCCTCCTCAAAGCGTTCCCACTACAGTATCTTCAGTATGACAGAATTCCTATTATAGTCAATTCTTCTCTTTTTAACTCTTAATAATTATTCTGTAAGTAGTGCTCCTTTGAAATGTGCTTGACAGGAAGATGCAACCTTCTTCATTTTCCTTTGCCAGTAGATTTTAACGTTCTCAAGGGACACTTCTTAGAACTGAGATTTCCCCCCCCCCCCCCTTATTTTTAATGTGCATTCAGTTCTGGGTCTTTCTCCTGTAATTACTCATCAAAGACCAAAAGAGACCACAAATTTGTTTCTTATAAAGACTGGACGAGGCAAAGCTCTGTCACTGCTTGACCTTGATTAGATTAAGATTGGTGGAGCAGAGGTGAAAACTCTGTGTCCATTACTATTCCAGGCTTGCTGATTCCCTGTCACTTTTCCAGACACCCTCATTTCAGTGTTTTTGATCTCAGTGAAGTTTTGTTCGACAGCTGTTATCTTTTTTCTTTTGCTCATTGTGTTTATGCTCTCTGATTTTGAAAGGGATAACTTTTGAAGCCTTGCTTATACAGTTTAGAACATCAGCTGTAGTATATATTGTATAGAATAATTATCAGTAAATATATCCAATGATGCCAGAATGGACTGTATGGATAATATCTCTAAACAATGTATTTAAAACTTTTTTCCTCATATTTTTGGGCTTGTATTGTCTCTCTATCGATCAGTTAGGTTACAGCAATAATGAACTTCATCATCTGAAAATCAGAAGTAGTCATAATTACTTGCTGAAGAAATATCTAAAAATTCCTTTGCTGTAATCACTAATGTAAGACTACCAGTTTGCACCATCTGAAAAGAGGCACCATCTGAAAATTCTGCTTTAATTAAAAACAAAATGCTTATTCACTGCTTGGACTAGCAGAGAGAGGCTATCACTTGGTAAATGATAGCCACATGGTAGTATAACAAAAGGTCAGAAGGACTTCCAAGTGATAAATTAGTTTATGTATTTAGCTGTTGTAGTTAGGGCTGTAATACAGGCTCA